TACTTTTATCACAGATTCTTTCCATACTAGTGACTTTGACATCAATTTCTTTTATTAGGAATTCTGAATCAAATATATATGTGTATATAAATATTTGATATCTATCAGGTAATCTCGGAAATATATGTATGATTTATATTTTCTATAAATCATAGAAATTATATGAAGGGTGGATGTTATGCGTAGATAGAGGGTACAAATTGTTTTCAATCTACATCTAAGATGAATAACCAAAAAAATATGTACTTCTAATATACAGGGTGACTGGTGAATTACTATCAATATTTAAGGAGAATACTCGGTACATGATTCTCATTCCAATTATGTAAAAAAAATAGGTACTTAATTTTTGACAAAATTTTCCTATAAATAAATAAAGTGTTGACACGTTCCAAGTGTTCAAGTGTGGACGCGTGCGGCGGCGTGCTGATACAACACCACGTCACGACACGCGTATGTGTGAGTGTCAGTGTATACCTAATTTGTCGGGTGTTCACACGATGCGTAATTAATTACATAACTTTTGGTTAACTTTACTAAGAAGTTTATTAATATTTATGTTATATTAATTTTTATTTTGTCATATATGATCGTCAAATATCACGTCCTCAAATATCGATAGTAATTCACCAGTCACCCTGTATATGTATACTTGTTTTAGTGAAAAAATAGGTATAAACAAAATTATAATTATCTATGTATTGTAAGTAAAGATTTATTCTATTTAAGCCTGAAAGCTTTTAACTATTATTTTCACTTAGCGTCTGTTTTCGTGAGATATTACTAACAATGGCTGTATTTATGGCGTCTAGGTTTTACTTTAAGGGGACAGATATATATAGAATTCTTTATATATATATATTAAATATTTATATATGTTATAAGGCTTAACTATGTTGTATATATATATATATATAGTGATGACGTCACTCGTCACCCCGTCAAAGCCTGCCAAGCTTTATGTCGTCTAGACAAATTATACTAACATCACACACTGACTTGGGAATATTATGAAATAATATGATATACCTTATAAATACTAATTTAGTAATTAGGAGATAAAAATATAGATTTAGTACGCATCAAAATAGATTGATATAGATATAGGTGTAGGTATAGATGCGGTATCTTTATAGATTTATTGTAGTATCTAAATTTTGTAGGTTTGTAAATTTTTTTTGACATATAATCAGTTCTGATTTTGACTTGAATTTTATTCAGGCTATATAAAATTTAATAGAAATATTTTACATACTGGCATCCGTATTTGGTAGAGAAAAATTTACGTAGTAATAAATGTAATTATTAGAGAGAAGATAGGAAATAAATTATTATTAATCGTTTTAAATCTAATGTAATGTTTATTAAATATCTCGAGATATTTTCCTTTAAACATAGAGATTACACGGATAAAAGTTGTGAGCCGACCCGAAATAAACGGGGTACGAAATATTCGACCAGCGGCGAGTGTTAGTAACCTTGAACTTGGTTCATACTGTGTACACTTACTATCATTACACGTACTTCATTGACGGGAAAACGAATGGAGAAATATATATCGTACCGTCCCAGCCTCACCAAAGCTATAATTCGTTATGCTAAACACCAGTCCCGCCCCCTTTTGTCTCAATAAACACCACAAAGTTCTATAATAACCTTAAATTAGTTTTATTCGCGTCGAAAAACACAATAAACTGTAGTACGGACGTATGACTCAACTGACACAATGTGACTGACTAAATCATCGTATTCGTATTCGGATTCCAAATTTAAAATAATTGACATGAGATATGCGTTCGGAAACTTTGTAAATTTTTTAATTCAAAGTTGTTTTGTTTCTGAACGTAATGTGCGTCACAAGCGCGGCATCATAGAGTATCCGGCACTCGGCGCGGCGGAAGGCGGTTCAATTTGTTAAATTAAGCGCATTTGCTCGTTGCACAGATTCACTCGTGAGTGGATTATGAAGGATGTCAATGATTTTCGCGCATTGTTCTTTGTGGAGTGTCTCGTATTACAAACGTGATTACTTTAATGGCTGCCCGTTCCCAGGCATATTTATATACATCCAGCTATATACAGTATACAGGCAATATATATTTTTATTTACATTTAATACAAACTTCTAATATTTTTTGTAGTACAAATAAAAACGTTATATATATGTATATTAAGTAATAATTTCCAATGACATTGAAACAGTCAAAAGCAGTGCGTGCGACGTCACAGCTTGATTGTACTGAATTGAGTTTCCGTCGACGACAGGATAAAAACCCCGTCCTCGTTAAACAATGACCAATCCGGTAACCACCACGCGACCAACTGATTCATTAATATATAAATATTTAATATACTAAAACAGTATTCTAATATTCGCGAAATTTAATGCTTCTGTATTCAAACCAATTAATTCGTTCTGATAGTTATTTTTAATACAATTTTTTTACGTAATATGTATGTGTAATCATTGTTTTATTAGTCATATTGATCCGTTTCTTCGTAAGTCCCTTATATAAACTTAATCTCCGCGATGTAAGTGGATGACAGCCATATTTTCTGCACTATTAGTAACCCATCAAGAGACGCTCGCGGCGCCCTCTAGTAAATCTCACCTCTAAATATTTGACGTTTAATATTTAATAGAAAAAAATCGTTCATACTAATATTAACTTTATAGCCGTTGCTATTCTTACGTAAACTGTTTGGATATTGTTTATAATTTATCATAGTCGATGCAAACAGTATTAATATTATTCCATATAAAAGATAAAATCACTTGATGTTTTTTAAAATTAATAAAAGAATGAAATATAATTTTATCATAATAACATAAATCTCATCTTAAATTAAATATTATAACGATACGAGAAATATATTTTGTTTTTCTAAGGCTGGCTGATAAATTAACATATTTATGAAAAATATATGTTAGACACATTCAACTTTAAAGAACATTTGACTAAACCATACGTCGTTATAAAAACCGTAAAATAGAAACTTATCTTCAAACATTTGTGACATAATAATCATAATTATTAATATTTGCATATATATTAAATATGAAATATTAGGCATATGGTGTTTAAGCGAGCTTTTGGCATTTATTTTTACGCCGTATAAACTCTAACATCGTAAACTTCTATTTAGGACCGTGTAATTCCGCGAATGGCTGCCATCTGTCGCCGAGTAGCGGCACTAAACGTCCCATTGTAATTTCGTAACGGCTCGCAAAATGACATGCGGTCAAAGAAACAAAATACATTCCAATTAACATCGTTATTTTAGTGTACAGATTAAGTTCAGAGATTATCATGTGTCTCTATCTTGGATACATCGCACCTGCCGTCTTAACCGACTTTAAACAACTGCCACTCCATCCATCATAGTGGGACAATTGAACGAATCATGACTTATAATTACAATAAAATTCAAAGGCTTATTAAAACGACTCGGCGATCGTTAATTCCGTTTAAGTACTTTAATTATAAGACAGTACTTTTAAATATAAAATACAATTTTAACATTTAATAATATATATTTTATAAAACCTATAAATGTATATAATGCGAATAAAGAGATCTTTCCCTCAATCTACAAAGGTCGTATCCCTTACGATAAATGTTATTGACCATTCACACTCGCACAGTGTTGCCACAAGGCTCGTTTAAGATCAATGGATCAGGGTTTGCGTGTCGCGACCTGCCTCAATGAACCTCCCACGACACATTCGGCTACACGCTACAGTAACAGCTTTTGGTCACTACGCTATATATAGAAACAAACGACCAACTAAATATAACACACATTATGTTCACACTTAGTCGCTTACAGCGACTCAAATATTAATATTATTAGCTAGTCTTATTACTTATTAGTGATTTGTTCAATGGCGTCTCTTTCAGTGCTGGACCGATTACAATGTTTACAACCGCGCGTGTATCACAGTTACGTGTTAAGTTATCAATTCTAATTAAGTTAACGTCGACCGGTTATCTGTAACCGACGCAGCTGCGGCAACCGACCTAGCTTGTTTCATTAAATCACACGACATAAAATGATTCTTCACTTGCTCATAATTACAAAACCTGCGATTTGAATGAGAATAGATAAGCGAGAGGTCCGATCGTGCGAGCGGGACGGAGATAGAACAAATGTCGTTCGTATTCTAACACAAAAAGCGGAGTAACGAACCAAAACGCCAGGTGTGAGTGGATGCCATGTGCCCGGTAACAGTCTCTGTATACACAGGAATACGTCCGCGGGCTCGCTGGGACTAGCGACTAGCGACTAGCTGACTGACATACATAACAACTGACATTTGTTTGACATTTGTCTTAATTTTTTAACAGCTTCAACTAAGACTCTTGATTAACTAGAGGAGTCCGCTCTACGGAAATTTACGCTTTCGATAATCATTGTTATGTACTTGTGCAAAAATAACGTTTTAGGATCGTCGAAATATTTTAAAAATTCTATTCAAATTATATTTCGCTGTAAGATATAATATAGAAAATGATAGGCAATTTTATAAGTTTAATGGAACACAATATATAAAATAATAACAAGTTTGTATTTATTTTTACATAAACAAGATAAATTTCTTACATTTTATAATTACGTTATAATTTTTATATTTAAACGATAGCCATAACGTTTCTGTTGAACTAACAGTGCCATCTGTAGATATTGTTGAGAACATGACTTCGAAACAGCGCCACCTAGCGTCTAGTAGCTAAAATATACTCTACCCTGTCAACGACAATCTTTGCCCTTTCTACAACATAGAGGGCGCTTTCTTTGATATTCGAACTTCGCTCTGTTTAAGCTGAAATAAATCGTATTGAAAAAGATCATCTACTAAAATCACTAATCTGTCGCCATCTAACCCAACTCCATTGCATGTTTGTCTATTAATTTTCCCTTATTTTGTGTTAACGTTCTCCTTTGTTTTACTTTATTTTGCTTTATGTTAAGTATGTGGTGTGTCTGTGTTGTTGTAGCTTATTTTGGCGCCGGACGGGACGCTGCAGACGGTCAAGAGCGAGTCTCGGCGCGGGCGCGGCAGAGGGCGCTCTACCACTACACCCGTGAGTACTTTATCATTTGGAACCTTTTTGTTCTTTTATTTTTATCCCTTCCTTGCCATTATGTGTTATAATATTATGCTATCACTAATTTAAACATGAACTTACAACTTGTGCGTTCGTTATTAACATATCAGATGCTTGTTTTATTTGAATATAGGACAGAAGATTCAGCAACTATCACAACTTATTAAAAGTTTCTACATTAACCATACTTTCTAATGTATCGAACTCGTATTTTTAATATCACTGGTCAAATATAAATTATTAATTTATTAATGAATATTATTAAAATGAAACTGAGCTTTCTAAGTACATTAACTAACAGACTGCAGGTGACCGAATCGTTTTGCCCGCTCGGTGATAAATCAAACAAAAACGGGGTCACTCTCGCTTTCCAAATCCGAATATAGGAATAAAGTGTAACGTGTCCGCGGCTTGAAAACAAATGGCATTCACTGTTCACAGCGGGGTCGAAAGCTATTGCGAGTACATCGCTGGTTTCGACCGCACTGTACATATTGCTCTCATAATAAACCGTCAATGTATCTCCGCGTGTCCCCCAGCCTCCTCCGCGCCACCTGTAGTCCATTCAGCGCGTATTTTGAATTGCAAATAGTAATTCGATGATTGTGAGCGTTATCATTGTCAAGTTCGTTCGTTTTCATTGTTGCGTCGCTTTCAAGCTCACTAACTGAATACATTTCTGTTGTTTATGAAATGTTCTTTTATGTGTTTTAAGTTTAAAAAATAGTTTTTATCTTGTCTCAGGTAAATATAAATCTTCTGTAAATGAGCGAAATTATATTATTCTTTTTCAGTTTTGGGAATGATTTTTTTTTTTCTTTTAACTATTTTCTCTAATCTTCATTACTTTACGAAAAAAACGAAGCTTTTTAAAGAAAAATATGTACTTAAAAAATTATATATAATATATCAAATAAACGTTTCAGTACAAAATTTAATATAATTAAATCTGTCCTCTGTTCCGGCATAAAATAGGAACAATCAAACAGACTGTCATCAAACTATTAGTGAATGTGTTTCCAATCAGCTAATACATTGAAAATAAAGAATAACAAAAAGATGATTTTTCTTAAATCACGTTCAAAGACCGTACGGACAACACCACTACTAATTGTCTTATAACTTCTTATAAACCATTACTTTTGTATTATATTTTAATTTTAAACCTTAATTAAATCAAGTCATCTGTAAAAACTCTAATAAGAAAAATCATTATTATATCAATTAATTAATTTTATTTATATTAATTCCTTCTATGAATATTAAAAATATTTCTCACATTTAACGTGTCCTCACAAAAGTAATTAGAAAAGAAATGAGGTGAGTTAGTGTCGTCTAACCGTAGTAGCGGCGGAAAATTGAAATAGAAAAAGCAGAAGTTTGAAAAGTTACAGAAAGATTGTACCAGACGGAGTTGACTGAGGTTACAATATTAAAAGGAATCGACGACGGGCATAGCGCTTGTATTGATTTATATGATATTATACTATTATAAAAAACTATATATTTTTTGTTCAATCATTAATTGCATTAATATTTGAATATAATAACTCGTTGCTATAGTCATAACAAATCTAAAACTATTATAAGACTTATATTTAAAGTTAAAAAATCTCATCGTCTAATTAATATAAGCGAGTAATCTCGTCCACATCGAGTCCTATGAGTTTCAAACTGCAGCGTATCAGTTAACTTGTGAGTTTAATTCATCAACAAAAACCGCTCCAAACTAATGCAGCTCCTAATCTATGTTCAATTCTGATATAAATTGAAATCCAACATAATGAAGACGGTGCGCATAAAGCCTGCAGACGTAGGTACTAATTTCGCGGTGGCCATCTTGCGGTTGTCATGGCAACCAGACTGTGCCCCCCCTCCCGCCGGGCCCCCTCCCGGGCCCCCCCGGACCGGGAAGGGCCCTGCACTTACGTTGCACTCGGAAGCTAGATCTGGCCACGTCTACATACTATTGAGATGCTATAACTGATTGAAGGCCCGATGGCCGCGAAACAGATTTCTTCCAATCTCTCCTATATACTAATATGAAAATGCATTTCCTTATTGCGAAACTTTCTCGGGAAATTCGCGAACTCATTATTTTATTTTGAACTCATTAAAATTTCTGCATTCCTCGGAAACGTCCGAGATTTATCTTGCCATTATGTGACGCTATATAAATTGTTTCTATGCTTTTATAAAGATTTTTTTGGTATTCTAAGTTATATATTTTCTAAGGACAACCTATTTTGAAACGTAGGTTTGAGGAAAAATGTAAACAAAATTTTCAATCATAGTGAAGGCCGAGTTTTATAAAATCATGCAATTCTTGGGCATTCGTAAAATATTCACTGCAATAGTCGACGAAGGAGGTAGCTATGTGTCGGATATTGAACGGCTGTTTGAATGGACTGAAAATAATCAAATAAGAAAATTACTTTGAAAATGTTCATTATATACCAAAATGAGATAATCGAAACAGAAAAAAATAAATAAATAGAAGAGTTAAAAGTTATGTCCAATATATTACAGTACATCCTCATATTTGGCGATCGTTCGTAAATCGTTTAGAGATTTTGAAAACGGCGCATATCTAAGTTAAATTTATTTGAAAAGCTCCACAGCCAGGAGTCGCAGCTCGCCGCTAGAGGCCGCTGGAGGTCGCCAGCGAATTATAAACTCAGACGAAATTTGCACAGAGCACTTTGTAATTGCAAATTTCGTCTCCGGACGCATGCGCTCAACCACGATCAATACGGCAACACTTTATTATTTTTTGTTATAGAAAACACAATTTACGCGCCAAAACATAAAAAAGTGAGGTTATTTTGTCTATGATATTCCGTGAGATTAGATTAGATATTTTTATTAAGGGAAAAGTCTTTAGAATTTTCATTTAAACGGCTCGCGGTGCTGGGTGGCGCTGGGTGGTGCTGGGTGGTGCTGGGGGGTGCTGGGTGGGGGTGGCCGCCCGTCGCTATTGGATAGTTACTCTAAACTATTGCCTGAAAGTTTCATTAATGCATTCTATTGCCTCGTTATGCATTTTCGGTGTCCCTTTGCCGTTTCAATGGTGCTCTAACTTTGAAATAGTGCCGTTGTTCTGTTATAATTACATTTATACTCAAATTATTAATGTCTTCTATATATTGATACTAATGGAATTTAACATTACTTCTTTCACAGAAAATATCGGATATACATATTTGATAAGGAATTTCGATATTTATCTGTTATTTTTGAATTTCTTAAATCACAATATCGTATGTATTTTTTGGAGTTCAATTAAAATATTCAACACAGCTGAAATTCATATCATTCCAAGTTCTTATAATATATTTTTCGTGTATATTAAAATCTCTAACTTTCCAAATTGCGTATAATGAGTCGATGCATATTTCATTCGGTGTCTGATTGGTAACAATATTCAATATATATATTATATATGTAATATCTTTATCAGTATTTCCTCGTCGTCTGAACTCCGCCTGTTTTAATATTAAGTTTTCCCACGGAACTTCCTCCGCTGTATTCGGCTTCATTTACTCTCCCGAGCTATAGAATTTTAATTAAATTTTTACTTGTGCAATAACATATGCAGTTCTTTACTTCTTTGGTTAATGTCGTTGTTATATATCATATTAAAATATATTATATTACTTTCTGTCTAAATTCAAACTTTTTTTATTAAACTGCTTCTTTTTAATTCCATTAAAATTCTTCTCTAACTGGTTCTAGTATAAATTCTGTCAAGATAAAAAAACGTTGAAAACAAATTATGTATATCCATTTCTTTCAAATGTTCAAGGATTTGCACTGTTATTTTTTATAGTAATCATATTTAAATTTAAATTGTTATTTGTATAATCATACTATCTATAAGATACTATTTGTATCTTTTTCCCAATTAACGTACCGATCACCGGTAAGGGAAACGCAAAAGGTAAATACAGAACGCAGTCAAAGTACGCAATACGCCGTCAGTCAATTAAATCAAGGCTGAACATTCAGAACTTAAAAAGTACTTTAAACAATGCCCTATTGTGACCCGTCTGGCTCGCACACACATACACACACACACACACACACACACACACACACAAGTATGTTTAATACAAAACATGAAGCTTACATACGTGCATACATTTTCGCCTGCTTCCTAAGACACGACTTACCTATTATAGACTTTATCATCATTATTATTGAGATCAAAATACAATAATGATGCGATCGATACCACTAACTAGCCGATGTCTGCCCGAGAATGTATTCCTTTACACAGAATATATGAAAACGAATCTTTGAATCGGAAAAATACGATAGAACATGCTATTACGGCCTTATGTGGGACGGGATTTATAAAGAAATATTTTCATTGACCAGTGACTTAGATGAGGATTTATAAATATATTATTATAACTAAATAGATTCTAGTATTAATATAATAAAATATAAACTACCAAATAAATCCTGACGTCATAAAACATTCGAGTAAGTTAAAAGTGAACCGAAACGTGTTTAGTGTGTGTCAAAACGTAAACCGCTCACATAAAAGGCCACTATCCTTGTGGATATCGCTGCGGGATTGCGGCATCCCGGCATCCCGCGGCACGGGACTCGAGCAACAAGTGGATTGGAGTGACTTTTGTGCCCGACACTAATAAGATACTAGTGACACGGGGAACGGTTAACGTGCCGCCGGGATTGCCGGGATTGCGGGATTGCGGGATCGCACGGATATTATCTATGGTCGACGGGTTTCGTTTGGCGCGCGACCAGATTACTTTCAAGGGTACGATTAAATCTCACCGCTACTTATTCACTTTTCTTTTTTATTTCCATTCACACTCATACGACTCTTCTTGTAAATGTTAATTTATATAAAACTTTCAGTTATAATTTTTTTAATTTAGTGTTTTTGTGTATTTTGAAAAAGTGTGACAAAATTATCGATTTACCGATATCAATCGATACCTACA